CCCCAAAACCCCAAAACCCCAAAACCCCAAAACCCCTTACGTCTAATCTGGACCAAATTAATTGAAGTATTTTATTAGTTTTAGTTGAATTAAAGTATATCTATTCTTATTTCTTATAGATTTTTCTAGGAGTTCTTAACCACTTTCATTGTTTAATCCCTCCTTTAGGTCCAAATGTTGCTTTATTACTCTTAACCCCCACACCATAGAAAGCCATATCATCATTGACTCTATCTTAATTCTAAGTTGCCCTATTTGGTAGTTGCATTTTTTAGTTTTATGGACCAACTTATTGTTAATTTCTTTAGATGCTACTATTATTGACAGCTGCACTCTGTTGATTATTACCTATCCAAAGATCTTTTTACTATCCACTATTAGTATTAGTATAAGCATCAAACCCTTCACTTGCTGGAAGATTCCTAGCAGGTGGGTTTTCATTTTGATACCAGAATGCATCTTCATCATCAAATTAAGGTTATTGATGATGTATGTTATTATTAGCCTTACCAACTGACTTCTAATATATACTCATTGTTCCATTATGTCCTGCATCACTTAAGTCGTCTCTAGTATCTAAAGTGTCTTCAAATTGATTCTTAATTGTATTATTATTATTGTCCTTTTTCTAGATAAATTAATCCTATTTATTTTTTACAACTTAAGACGGCTTTGGTCTCCTTGGCTTGCCTTGACTTAAATCCTTGTTTTCTTCTTCTAAATCAACCACTTGAGTTTTTAAAAATTCATTTTCTCTTTTCATTTCTTTCATTTTTATTTCCAATTCATGGATATAGGCATTTTTCTTGCTCAATACTTGCTTTAAATTCTCAGCTTCCATCTCTGCTTTATACCTCTTTTCTGATATCCTTAATAAAGCAAATTCTACTTCTGATTTGACTTTCTATCGAGAATTAAGTATTTGAAAGATTAATGAAATATTTTGAGCAAAACTTTGCAGATAATATCAATTTTTCTTACTGTGTTAAATACTTCTGGGTCTTTTTCTCTAAACTTATCATAATCTTATCCGAGCTAGCTGATCTCATCTTCATAACGTTTCACTTTTTGTTTGTCCTTTTAGGCGTTGATAATAGTGTTTTCACTATTCTAATTTATTCTATGCTATATATTCAATTAATTAGCAGCATTAATATAAGGTAAAGAATATGAAGAATCAAATATTTACCTCTGCATCATTTATTCTGTTTACCATTCCTTTCAGCGTTTTTTTATCTTTCTTTCTCTTTTTCTCGATTCCCTATTTTTCTAGCTCCTACTAAATCAACTGATCTGGTGTCAATTCTAAATCAACAGATCATTTACTATAATATTATGTAAAAATTACCTTCTCCGAGAGGAGGGTCCTCATCTTCATTAATTTTGTTAGATTGTTTTTAAGGAGATTCTTTTGACATTAATTTTTTTGAAAAGGTAAATTATTATTTATAATTCTTTATAATAACAAAAGATTATTTTTATCTATGGGGTTTTGGGGTTTTGGGGTTTTGGGG